TTGTATTGAAAAAAGTCACCTTTCCCAAGGTCATGGCCCCTTCCTTGGAGTGGCCCATATCCAGTGACTTGTCAGTTTGGAGAGATCAAGGCCTCACCTGTTTGCTTCAATTCAGGATGACTCTGAAGGGTCATCATAGCTCCAGAGCTCCCTGTAGGATTATCTGAGGCTGCTGTTGTTACTCATTGCAGTTCAACTTCTCCCTCTGCCCAGTCTTGTATTCCTCACTTCCCCACAAGTGTAGATCCTGAGGCTACTTCCCAATAAATTTCCTGCACACAGATGTGACAGTATTCTTTTCAGCTACCCTTGAGATACTGACTAAAATTGACTATGCAAAGAAAATCCCAACAAACTCCTTCAGGGGACAACCAAAGAGACCACAATCTCTCACCGCAGTACGATATGATTAGATATTAACAACAAACCCCCCCAACCACCACCACCACCACACACACCACCACACACACACACCTCTTCAGAATTTAAGTGTTGTGCATATAGAGTCACTTATATGAAAGTAATATTTTAATGAAAATGGTGAATGCCAAATAAAGTAGGTACAGGGTAAGTTCTTATGAAACAGTACAGTTAAATGGAATCCTTTTCAAGTGTTTTCCTCCTAACAAATTATAAGAAAAGAAAAATAAGTACCCACCTTCATGATTTTACAAAGTATATCTTACTTCACAGAATGCCAGCTTACCACCACATGAATAGAGTAGGTGTGTAATATCAGGTGGTTAATTGTCAGGAAAATTAGGGGGAACAGAAGAAAATCATAAATTTAATATAGAGCCATCCTTATTTTCTAGTTTATCAAAATGTTTTTCCTAAGTAATACATTTATAACTGACATTTGATACAACCTTGTAAAGGAAGACTTAAGTAATTAAATAAATGCACACCTTTAAGATGTGCCAGAGGGATGGAATCACAGGTATGGATGCTGCTCAGCATTTTTGCACCAGAAGCTGCAGCTGCCATAACTCTTGGTGATTGCCATATCCGTAGAGCTGATCGACTCAGTACTTTGGCCTCTCAGTCTGTGATCCTCCGTTCCTCAGTATTCTTGCCCTCCACGTGACCTTGGGCATGGTTACACCTTAAAACTGATCATTGTAAATCACTGTAACCCCATGTCGGGGAAGGTCATTGAACAGACATGACCACCAGTTGATCTAGTTGATCAGAGGTTCCTCACCCCCTCCCCTGTCCTTGGAACGTGGGTTCTGCTTGCCTTTCCCCCCAGTGGCTGCTCCAAGGACACAGCTTTGACATAATGATGCGGTGTTGAGAACACCTGCACAGTATACATGACTGAACCCAGTGAAGGCCTCTGTATAAACCTAAGATATGGCTGGTGGGTGCAGGAATCCACTCACCTTGCTGTCACCCAAGATCCCTTTGCTTATGAAAACTGCCACTACTAACCTCTTTCTTCAGTTTTTCTCTGCCCTCTGAGTACAGGGGCCAGTTTCAGATTACACCTGGCAAATCCCCTGAGGGTTGCTAATTTCCCCCCCCTTCTCTGCTCACTTCCAATAATTTCAATTTTAAGTATCCTTTCTCTTAACTTTCTAGCTCATTTCTTCAAACACCAGTTTTAATAATCATTCCATCCCACTAGGAGCTCTGATCCATTGATCTACCTTTTCAGTGCCTCTCACCCCTCTGCCCACCCCCAGGCTCTTGCTTTCTTACTCAATTTTTGTTGCCCATCCTTATTATCACTCTCTTGCATACCCCTCAACTCCCTTACCCCTCTCTTGTTTTGTGGTTTTCTTTTGGTAAAGTCCCAACCCTCATTACATTCAACTTTCTACCAAAATCTCTGCCTGCACCCATGCAGTTGAGTGTGGCTACAGAAGAACACACAGCTATCCTGTATGATCTCCCTTTGCATTCATGACCACTAACCTCACCAATGAAGGGCCTCACAGGAGGGCCCTCAGTGCTGTCAGCAATCACATTTCATTTTCCTAGTTCATTCACTTTCCTGCTCTCTTAAAATGTGTTCATACCTTCTTTTCTCTCCTGACATCCCCCAAACCTCCTCTCCAGCCTTCCCCTCAGCTGATGACAATCTTGCTGCCCTTTTCACTGCATAATAGAATCAATCAAAAGAAAACTTCCAGAGGGAACTTTAGAAATGTTCCATATTTTGTTTAGGATGGTGATTATTGAGTCTATTTGACAAAATTCATGGGGCACTTAAAACCAATACATGTTACCTATGTAAGTTATATCTAAATCAAAATTAAAAATAAAGAAAGAACTTCCATAAGTTGTCACCACTGCATATACCCACTTCTTGCAGTGGGCTCTGTGTGCGATCTTGATGCTGAGGATGAATGTTCCGTGCTCCTAGATAAGGCCAACTCCCCTACTCCTGCTCTTAACTCCATCACTCCAGCAATCCTCCATTCTCCTTCCTGCTTCATCAGCGTTTCCCTTCACTGGATGATTCCTATCAGCATATAGACATGCCATTATTTCTCTCATTTTAAAAATAACACTCTCCTCCAGAAAAACCTCTCTTCATTCCATTTCCCTCCATTTGCTGCTCCATTTCTCTTCTCTGCTGCAAAATTCCTTAAAATGGTTGCCTGTATTCACTTTTTCCAGTTCTTCTACTCCCATTTTCTCGTGAAACCACATCAGTCTGTGTTTTGCTCATCACCAGGCCTCTGAAACCACTTTTATCAAGGATATCCGTGACTCCGTATTGATTAGATCCAGTGTTCAGTTCTTGGTCTTTACGTGACTTCTCAGCAACATTGAGCATTGTTGATGACTCTCTGTCCTTGACATTTTTCTTCACTGTCTTCTAGGAAAGGACTCTCCTGGATTTCTTCTTACCTAGCTGGTCACTCCTTCTCTATCTCCTTTGCTCATCATCTCTCCTTGTCTCCTTGATTTTCTTATGATATGGTGCCCCTGTCTCCCGTCTCACTGCCTTCACAATCTCATCTAACTGATACCTTTAAATACCTTAAAAATACTGTGGACCCCCAAATTGCTATTTGCAGTGTGGAAGACTCCTCTGATCCTAGATTCATACCCAACCATGTATTTGAAAACTTCATTTGGATATCTAATAGGCAACTCAAACTTCATGCATTCAAACACCAAAATCTGGAGGACTGGCCCTACCAGATGAAGACTTATTATAAAGTTATAATAATTAAGACAGTATAATATAGATATATGAATAGACAAAATACCCAGTGGAACCAAACAGCAAACCAATAAACAGATTCATACCTACACAGAAATCTTATATAGAACAGAGCTAATCACTGGAGATTGGTGGGGAAAGAGGGAAACTATTCAATCATTGGTGCTAGGGCAATTAAATATCCATGTGGGAAAAATGGAAATGGATATCCCCCTCACATCATAACCAAAAGTCAATTGTAGGCCGATCAAGAACTTCATGTGGAAGGCAAAACCTTAAACATTTTAGAAGATAATAGAGAAGAATATCTTTATGGTCTTGGAGTAGAGAATAATTCCTTCAGAAACAGCACAAATCATAAATGAGAAGACTGATAAATTTAATTTCATTAAAATTTAGTATTTCTGTTCATAAAAAAAAATACTAAAAACCCAAAGATAAGCTTCAGACTGGGAAACGATATTTACATTGTGCAAAGTGACAAAAAATAGAATTCAGGATATAAAAGTAATAATCAAAAAGAAAAGAATAACCCAGTAGGGAATGGATGGAAAAAGACAAGAGTAAACATTTTACAAAAGTGGATGTATATGAAAGGACACTAACCTTCTTTAGTAATCAGGGAAATATGAACTAAGAACATAATGAGACACCATTTCACACCCACTAGAATAGCAAAATTAAAAAGTCAGCCAATATCAAATGGGGATTTTGATATGGGTGGTGAGAATTCTTGTGCACTGATGGTTGAGGGCAAATTGTTATAACCGCTTAAGAAAATGGTGTGGCAGTACTTAGTAAAATTGAATATGTATGTGCCCTAATCCAGACGAAACTCTTGTATACATGCAGAATTGTGTGTGATTTTGTGTGTGTGTGTGTGTGTGTGTGTGTCAAAGCAAGGAGAGGAGAAAGTGGGAGAGTGAAGAAATTAGTTGAATGTCCATCAATAGGAAAATGGATAAAATATGCTCAATGACACATGGGATTTGTATAGTAATAAAAACAAATGAATTACTACTAAACACAACAACATGGACAAATCTGAAAAACAATGTTTTGAAAACTAAACAAAACAATCTTTAAATAAAATTGAGAGTAACGGGTACCTCTGGGTAGAGGTAGGGGTGGGATAGAATAGAGTCAGGATGAAATCTCACACTGGGGACTTCAAAGTTATTGTATTATTTTAATTCCACTGAATAGTGGGTACACAGGTATTTGTTCCCCTTTTAAAAATATTCATATATATTAAGTACCCTTTTAGTTTGTATATGTCAAAGTTAAAATTGAAGTTTTAGAAGTGTTTCATTTAGAATTTAAAAAAAAGACTAATAAGTAGGTCATTAATACTCCCCCATCTTTAATTTTTTTAACCTCTTGTTTCTTTTACTCACAGTTTTGAGTTATCTGTAACCATTGTTTCCTCTAATGTGAGCTAGTACTAAGCTGATACAAATGGAGCATTTTGAAAAATCTTTTGAAATCAGGGCCATCAAACTAGTTTATCAAGTTGTTAGGATACAAGTCTTTCACAGTAATGAACTGGGTTCCTATTTTATGTGATTTTTCCATAGTCTATTGATAGATGTAATTATTGTTGCCCTCTAGACTTTACATCAGGCCACAGAAAAGGCGTTATGAGTGAACTGAAATGTTTCATTGCTCAGTTTTCATACATTCGTGCTATTTCCAGAAAAAAATCAGTGCCATCACTGTATACATGTATTTCATAAACAGATAATTCAGGTGTTTCATGTAGCTGGTGTTTTTCTTGTTAACACTGAACGACTGACTATATGTGACTGTGCATTTATAGGAAATTGCCCGGCATTTACGCCCTGGAACCCTCAGAGCAGTCTTTGGTAAAACTAAGATCCAGAATGCTGTTCACTGTACTGATCTACCAGAGGATGGCCTATTAGAGGTAAGATAAAGAAAGGTTGACATCCTATTTATATTTCAAACTCATAATCTCAGCAATTCTGGTGCATAAGAAACCTTTTAATATTCTTGGATTATACTATTAGTTGGCCATCTGAGGACTTCAGAGTGCAACTTTAAATGACCACGTTGTAGGATGCTGCATATAACTAGTCTTCAAAGAGTTAATTGGTTGGCATATTTCTGTGATTGGTATATACATGCCAATATTTTAATGCATACATTTAAAAATAATTTTAAAATGAAAAGCTATAGCATTAAATAATGTGAAATTTGTTTTAAAAACAGGTTGAAATACCATTACCATAAGTTTCTAGTCATGTTATGTCAATGAAATCAAGAAGTCCAATATGCAGTGTGGTAACATTAAAAGTAATAGTTACCATTTACTGACTCTTTATATGCTGGGTTCTAGCGTGATAGATAAATGCTTTGTATAAAGTAATTTTTTAAATTTTATTTTATTATGTTAATCACCATACATTACATCATTAGTTTTTGGTGTAGTGTTCCATTATTCATTGTTTGCGTATAACACCCAGTGCTCCATTCAATAGGTGCCCTCTTTAATACCCATCACAAGGCTAACCCATCCCTCCACCCCCCTTAATCTCCAAAGCAACTCTAATCGGTTGGTATTATTATGTCCATTTTTTTCAGGAAAATAAATTGAGACTCAGAGGTATATAACATCCTCAAACCATTCATATAGGACAGAGCCATATTTTGACCTCTCATCTGTGTAATTAACATAAAACAGGAAACAATGAAAAATTATAAGAAAGTATCAGTGAAAATTAGTCTTGTTTGGATTTTTTTTTTTTTTTTTAAGTAGGCTCCACACGCAGCATGGAGCCCAACACGGGGCTTAAACTCATGTCCCTGAGATCAAGACCTGAGCTGAGATCAAGAGTGAGACACTTAACCGACTGAGTCACCCAGGTGTCCCAGTCTGGTTTGGTTTTTAAAAAGTCATTTCTAGCCCCAAAGCAAAGGAACTTTAAAGAAAAAATAGAAATTTTTAACTTTTTACAGTTTTTTAAAATTGTATTTTAAATTTGTATGTCAAAAGGAACTAAACTGAAATGAAGACACAATGATAAAATGATTATAGCTTAAACACAGAAAAATGATTGATATCCTCAACACATATTTGTTTTAGAGAGTATTATTTATGTTTTATGTCAAATTTATCAGTCGTTTTTTCTGCTTTTGAAGTCATACATAGAAAGGCTTCCCCCACATTTTGCTTTCATTTTCTTACATTGAAATGTTCAGTCCACCTGGAATTCGACATATGGTGTGAGGTGTGGACTAGTCAGCTGTCACAACGTCATTAAATGCTCCCATGCTTTCATTGTTACTTCTCATTTATTAAATATTTGTCTACATCTGTGTCTGTTTCTGAACTTTCAATTTTATTGAAATTGATTTATTTCAATTTATTGGTCTGTGCCAGCAAAATACTATTTTTATTATTGCACTTTATTTATACTTTGAAAAAGTTTTCTTGATTTTTCCCTTAAATTTATTCCTCCACATGAACTTTATATGAGCTTACCAAGTTCTTTACCCCATCCCCACAGGATGCAAATGGGACCTTGACTAACGTTATAATATTTTTATAAATTACTATGGGACTGACATATCTATAACTGTGAGTTTCTGTCTGTGTATTTGGTATGCCTCTTCTTTTATGCAAGCAGTAGAGTCTTTTTTCATAAGGGTCTTGGACATAGTATATTAAATTTATTCCCATCAGTTTTTTATTTTGTTGCTTTAGAGAATTACTTTGTTAACTTCATTAAAATTTTCTGCTATAAGCCAAGATGTTCATGTGATAAACATGTGATTATATGTTAATGTAACCTTATCTAAACTATGCACTCTGGTATGAAATTTTCACATACTTGTGAAATATAAAATTGTAACAAATTTCATTTTTTAATTACCCAAAGTATTACATGTTTGTTTAAAATTTTCACCTGTTTTATAAATATTCCATTTACTTTCTGATAGTTTAGGATCTATAGAGTAGGTTTGAATACAGACTATTGTTCAGTGAAACTGAAATATTAATTGTGAAATTTATGCCCATTAAAAAATATTATCAAGGTATGCCCATGATTTTGCTTGTACAAACTGAAATGGATTATTACTGCCTGTAGTTTACAAAGCCATTTACTAAATGATTAAAATCTTTCTAACCTAACTTCACAGGAGATTTAATTGTAAGTTAATGACTGTGTGGTTTAGAGAATTAACCAAAAACCAGAAGTCAGAGCTCCAGCAGCCTCCTCTCGTGTGGCTGGTGATTCATAATTGATGTGACCTTGGAGAAGTTACTTTTTCTTTCCATGCTCACTTTTATCAGCAAAATAGAATAAAGAATTTTGATATAATCAAGGGATGTTCTTCCAGTTAGGGATTAACTGTTCGTGGATTGTTACTTTGCTTTAAATGGTAAAGTATTATAAAAACACTTAGAAGCCAAAATAATCTGTTTGGAGGTCTTCAAAGTGAAATTCAGAGTGACATAAAGACAAGCTTTCTGACCAGGGAAGCACTTTGTACTGCTACTCATTCAGGGAACATTCTGTAGATGTAGGGTGACCATAAATGTCTTGTCTAATCCTGGACCTTTCTGAAAGGCAGCTCCAATCAAAGATGCTAGGACAAAAGGCATAAACCAGAACTGTTATTGGCACACTGGGACTATAGGCTCTCTCTTTATATGAGAGCCAGGAAAATGGGAAAAGGTTACTTCTCCTTAATCCTTTCCTCATGTGATGTTTATTGAGCTAAGTTTATTTGTGTCAGACCTTAGAAGGTATTCCAGTTCATATTTTGTCACCATCTATTTTATGTACTTATTCTTGTAGCAAATGATTATATAAGTATGTATTACTTGCTGACATTGTGAAAGGATTTCAGAATCACACGAGATATTTCTCCTATCCTCATTGAGCTCATAATAAGTTTCAGAGTTCAAGGATCTTAGCATGAAAATAGAATCTATTAGGAGCATTTAGATGCTCCTAATTGTGACATAGCCATTTTTGTGGATGTAGGAGTAAATGACAGCATCTATGGTATGAGACATTCTATGATGTTATTTCACTGGTGATGCTCCTGATTGGTAGTACCTCTAAAGATCTTAAATTTGAGCTTTAAAGAAAGCATTAACGGCAAAATATATAGCTAAACTAGTAATCAAAGAAATACTAGTTTTTTAAGGGCAAAGAAATTTTTTAAAATATCCCTGTTCACTGGTAGTAAGGCTACAGTTAAACAGATACCCTCATATTGCTGGTGATAGCTATGTGGCAACAGGTATTGAAAGCCATGGGTTTTTTCCATTTATTCCAGAATTCTACTTCTTAGACTCTAACCAAAGGAGCAGGTGACAGCAGGACTACAAAATAGAAAGTTATCTGCACAGATGTTCATTGAAGGAGTATTTGGGGTAATTAAAATCAGAAATGACGTGCATGTCAAAGGTGTATCTGATGGTCCCTCCTCTGAGAAGACTTTCTTGCTACCTGTTGTCTGCATCAGGTCCTTCCATATGTGTGTTTGCCTAGCAATTTGCTCCCCTCTAATACAGTAGTGTAGCCAAGAGCTGACATAGCTCTGCACCTGGGGCAAGGTACTCATTTCATCGAGCTAGGTTTCCTCATTCCATAAAATGAAGATAATAGCAGTGCCTGCCCTATCAGATAGCATAGTGCCTAGCACAGAGTAATTGCTCACAAATGATAGCAATTATATTATTATTATTACAGCCCATTGTCTTTTGCTTATATATATGTCCCCATAAGACTGAGTACTCATAGGGAAGAGAAAAAGCTCCTCCATAAATCATTTTTGAAGAATAAGAGGGAAGGGTTTGGTGAAATAAATTATGGTTCATGTACTCAATGCAAAAGTATGTAACGTTTTTTTATTTTTTTTTGAGGTTTTCATCTTTTTATTTAGCATAGCATATCCAATATGATTCTTTTTCTCATTCTTAATATCAAAGTTTCAGAATCTCTCTTGTAATTGCAACAAAATACTTGTAACCTTTTTTTAAAATAATGATGATGGAGACCTCAGCAGTGGATTCCAGCCTTGGTTGCATATCGGAATCACCTAGACAATTTTTAAAATACTGATGCCCAGACCTATCCTTCAAGATTCTAATGATTTTTCTTTTGAAATAACTTCAAACTTACAGAAAAGTTGCAAGTACAATACAAAAAAAATTTTTTCATGAACATTTGGGATTAAGTTGCCAACATAATGCCCCATATCTCTGAGTACTTTAGTGTGTATTTTTTAACATAAAAGGGCATTTTTCTACCTAACTACATTACGAGCATCCAAGTTGGGAAATTAACATTGATACATTGCTGCCATTTAATTTTTAAACCCCGTTCAAATATCACCCATTGTCTTAATAATGTGTTTTAGTAGCAAAAGAATCCAGGTCAGAATCACGCATTGCATTTAGTTCTCTGCTTAGTTTCTTTCAGTGTAGAGCTTTGCCCAGATTTTCCTTGACTTTCAGGACCTTGATACTTTCGACAGTAACAAGCAGAGATTCTAATATAATTGACCCATTTATTCCTTTGCTCATCAGAAGATTTTCTAGATGGTTTCTTTGTGCATTTCTAACAAGATACTGACACATTGATTTTGCCGAACAGCATATATTGCTTATACAAAGAGTCTTTTATTGGCTCCCCATTGTCCATGAAGCTGTGTGACGCCTGTTTGATTTTATGACCCAGCATTGTGTATGCCTCCCTTCTGCTCCACTTAGCCTGAGCCCGCTGCTCACGAGCATCACTGATGATACTTATTCCTCGGTTTTATTTTCTCCTTCCTTTCTTTCCCAAAGCTTCTGTGCTGCTCATGTAGCTTCCATAGTCAGTTCCCAGAACTGTTGTTTTCTGATTATCTTCACGGGAACAACCAACACTTTACATGTACTGAAAT